CACACACACACACACACACACACACACACACACGCACACGCACACACACACACACATCCTCATACATAGTGTTTATGCAAAAAAGAAAATATCGCTTTATTCAAGTGATCTTCATTTTTACGACAGCAGGCACAATTATAGCGACTTTGGGGAGGCGGGGCTTCAGTTTATATTTGATTGACAGCTTGAGTTCCAATGGGATGGTGTTTGTTGTTAGTTACCTTGGTAACAGGGTCCAAGGGGCAGCTCTGGGCGTGGCCATAACAGATACACATCCCGCCCACCGAGACGTCCTTGATGGAGTAATAATACTGCAAACCAGAGCAGGACAGAGTTAGTCCTTCACTTCAGCTATTACTCTATTAACAAAAGAGGACCATGTCTTGAAGTACCTTTTAATAAAGCTACAAGCCCCAAGAAGCCGTGGTTTACAGTGAATGTATAACAGCTAAGGGGCGTTGTTCGTTACGACTCGAAGCGGAGTAAACCCTCTTAGCTGTTATAAATTCACTGTGAACCACGGCTTCACGGGGATTACTACTTTTATAAAACGGTTATTCCATACACATAGTAAGGTTTCACAAAATAAAACAGAGCAAATAAAGTGTAATGATATTAATAAACACAGTATTCTTCCACCAAACAATGTAGCTCCTCAGAAACAGTTGTGGTTGCTACAAAGTGGTTGCCGAGCAACACACAAACGTAAACAAAGGTGTGTGTTACTTTGTAGCGTCATTTACAACAGCTTCGAACGCGGCTCAGCCAATCAGAGTCAAGCACCGGAACTCTCCGCTTTATAAAAATGTTATATTAATATTTAATATGAATATTTAAAATGAATATAAATTTACAAAATTGTAATTTATTAATAATTTATGTATATGATGAAACATCTTGAAGATACTTTTAAAAATCACGTTATATAAATATTTAATATGAATGTTTGAATATTTCAAATGTATGTAATTTATAAATAATGTTTAATTTTTTTAAATTATAAGTTATATAAATTTTATAAGTTCTCGCACACACACACACTCAAACACACACACTCACTTTAAACACACACACACACACACACACGCACACACACACACACTCACTTTAAACACGCACACACACACACACACACACACACACACTTTTAACACACACACACACACACACACACACACACACACACACACACTCACTTTAAACACACACGCACACACACACACTCACTGTAAACACACACACACACACACACACACTCACTTTAAACACGCACACACACACACACACACACTCACTTTAAACACGCACACACACACACACACACACTACACACACACACACACACGCACACACACACACACTCACTTTAAACACGCGCACACACACACACACACACACACACACTCACTTTAAACACACGCACACACACTCACACACTCACTTTAAACACACGCACACACACACTCACACACACACACACACTCACTTTAAACACATGCGCACACACACACACACACTCAAACACACACACACAAATATATAAAATACTTAAAATGATTACTTAAAGACCATGTTACACGAGCATTTCTGTAGCTCAAACAGAACAACATAACGCAAGCAACACCAAGGTCATGGGTTCGATTCCCAGGAAATGCATGAACTGAACACCTTGTACACAATGCAAGTCCCTTTGGATAAAAGCATCTGCCGAATACATAAATGTAAGCCTGGTGATCATTTCATTGTACAGCCATCTGAGAACATGGCACTACATCTATAAAAGTTTAAAGCGGTGCTCCGTACCCGCCGGGTGACGATGGGGTCCACGTCTTTGGGGTCGCGGTAGCTGAGGGTCATGAGGTCGGCGTTGAGCGTTCGGATCCTCTGCAGACGCAGCCGGATGAAGCGAGCAGAGGTGAACTCCAGCAGCTCTGGGGTCAGATCATCTGCGCTGGGTCGGCCGTTTATGAGAGACGTGTGGATCTGAGGAGAGACACCGCCACCATTCATTTCATTTGCTCTTCTAACTAGTCTAAGTCTTCCTTTTATTGTTTATTCAACAGTCCAGTTTGATCTTCATGACCTCTAGATGCGATACACTTGTTTCTGACTGTCACTGCATCTATTGTGTCAAAATAAATGATACAAACTCTTCCCAGCATTCTGACACACTATAACAGATCCAGCTGTGACCCAGGGCTATTATTGTTAACTAAAACCATAAAAACATTTGAGTTACTTGAAATAAAATAAACATTAAATTAAATTAAATATTTAAAAACGTTAAGTTATTTTATTTCAGATAATTGCCAAAGCAACATTTCCCATTTTAAATAACTAAAACTGAAAAAAACCCCAGATATATTTATAAAAAAAGTAGAAAAAAAAGCATGATAAAATTACTAAAACTCCAAAAAATAGAAAAACATAACAAAAAATGAACTCATTCTAAATATTAAATTAATTAAAAACTAAAAAACAAAAATGCAACAAAATTACTAAAATGCAACAAAAAAAAACTACTTAATTTTCATAGACACTATATGGAAATATTGATAAGAAATTAATAAAAATGACAAAACTACTAAAAAATTAAGTTAAAATAAAATAAAAACGGAAAACATAACAACTAGTGAAAAATATTAATGCAAACTAGACATTTCTAAAAAGCAAAAACTAATACTTTTTAGAAATTACCAAAACTTTAACTAAAATCA